ATGTATGTATGTATGTATGTATGTATGTATGTATGTATGTATGTATGTATGTATGTATGTATGTATGTATGTATGTAAACAGGATTGGTCAACCAAATTTCAGGTCGTGTGATTACTTGTGAGGTGGATAAGTAGCATTTTTGCAACCAGTGTTGTACTTTTTGGTTAATGGGATAAACAAGTTTTACTTAAAAAAATAAATAATAACTGTGAAAATGTGAGCACTGTGCAGTTTGTTTACGCGTAACCACGGGCTTTCCGACGGCTGTGCGTTGACATTTAAGAGCCAGAAGGAAACACAGCTAAACAACTTCCGTTCCGTTCTGACGCCGCATCAATAATAAAATACAAATCTGACTGCTTATTTCTTTTTTTCAGCTGTCTGATAGACTTTATACTTAAATTTCTAAGCTATATTTTGCCCCGTTTTTTCTAATAACAAACCGAAATGATTAATTATCTTGCAGCGGAATGGCTTGTTTCGTGTCAAACAAGAGCCGGACCCATTAGTGTCGGCGGACCGGAAGTAAAGTCTGTAAACTAAAAAAAATTGTATGTGCGCAACGACTACATATTAAACCCCGCTTAAGAAAATGTTYAAAAACACTTTTCAAAGTGGATTTCTGTCCATTTTATACAGTCTTGGTAGTAAACCACTTCAGATTTGGGACAAAAAGGTACGTAGAGGTCCGGACTAAATTATGTGAGATAATTTCACAAATAGCTACGTAACTAGCTAAAGCTAGCAGTTGTCATGTGTGCAGCTTATTTAAAGCTGACACGTTTGGTCAAAACATCTGTTTTAAAAATTTGTTTATGTAAAGGAAACGCTTTTTTTGTGTTCAAAGGTGAGGAATGGTCACATTAAGAGAGTCCCAGATAATGATATACACTCAAATGTGTTGGAAATTGAGGGCGCAAACGTCAGGTGAGTTTGTATTTAACTAATTAGCTCATTTGAGTTGTTGACATGGAGTATAACTTACCAAATGGAATATTAAATTAGGGTGACCAGATTTCTGACACTAATTCTGGGGACATTTCCAGCTCGGAGACAAAAAAAAATAGCAAAATGTTATGAAGATGACTTGAAGAAATGGGGACAGTTTCACGTATTTTTACATAAACACTCTGATCCAAATCTTAAGACCAGTCAAAAAAGTGCAAGAATTTGCATTTTGCTCTATTGGATCTTAAGAAGGCTCTAAGTAGAGC